ACATTGTTGTATAATGCACGGCAAGACAGGCCGTGTCCCCAGCGTATCTGTGTTAGCGTAACATAAATCGTGATTAAACTAATCGTGATTTATGTTTAAAATTATATTATATTATTATTTTTTGCTATGCAAAAATCTTCTGATGTTTTTTTTTAATATCGGTATCCAATCTCAGTATGATGAAATTACTATAATTACTAAAAAGCCAAACAGTGCTGCGTTCCATTTATTGGAAAAAATAATAAAAACGTTTGCTTATAAGACTCCTAATTATTTGTTTTCGGTCAAAGAATTTAAGCTTTTAGTTTTAATCTTTCTAGTTTTGCAAATAATGTTTCGATTCCCGGAGCCGGCCCTAATAAAATTGCTTGTGCTCGGCGGTGAAAGAAAACATCGTGAGGAAACCTGCATATTTTCGAAATAATAACGTTGATGACTCCGTGGCGCAGTTGCCAAGGTATTGGCTTCGGCGTCGGGGGTCGTGGGTTCGATTCCCACACGGGACAACTATTTGTGTGACCCACAGATAGTTGTTTCGCATCTGGGTGTTTGTCCGCGTGAAATTTATGTTTGTAAAACGTCCTTACAACACAGGATAATATTATCCTAAAGTAAGGGCAATGTTTTTTTAAAACAACAACAAAAAAAAAATAACAAAAGAAAAACATTTCGAATGTATGCGAAGTCCGCCAATCCGCCAATCTGCAGTGGGACCGCGTGGTGGACATGCCCTAAGACCCTCTGTATAGAGGAGGCCTTTGCCCAGCAGTGGGAAATTTATAGGCAGTTACTACTATATAATCTGTGGAACTACCAGTCGAATTTAAAAAATTGCTTTTGCATTTGATAGCCAAATTCTTGAGGAACGTTTTAAGGTATTTAACATCACGATCTACGGGGGCGGAGCAGAAACGTTTCTCGCGTAGCTTTAATAAATAACAAGCATTTAAAGAGATTTAAAGCTCACACCAAATAAAGGTTGCATTTTAATTTGCGTACGGGATTAGAATCCGTTCTATCTCTGCCAAGAGGAGCAAGGAGCTGCTCGCGTTGTGGCGATACGCCAATTTAGCGCATATTAACAGTGCTACTGTATTTGGGGCTGAATCTCTTTAAAACAAATCTCACCCCACGCGAATCTCCCACCCACTTTGGGTCGGTACTTTCTAAGATGCTTTCTTACGCTGTATCTGCCTTAAAATTACGTCACGATGAAGGCTTTCCAGTTAATATTCTTACTGTATATTCAAGATTCGCGTGGTTTTCAATTGACAATCAATATGCTGGTGGAAATTAGTATTTGATTGTGTCTGGGTGATGGGGCTATTCAATCAGATCTCCCGGTTAATGTGAGGACGTGATGTAAGTGATGTTAACTTTTTAACTACAAAAGTCACATGATTCCAGCTGGAACAATCGCTGTAAGCAATGCATTATCTGTCTGTCTTATGTCGATAGTATGTGGTTTGTATGCAATGAAAATGAAATGTCTAGCGACCGGTTTCAATATTCTACCTACAGGTAGATTTGTTTACTAGTGCTAGGTATTTGACGTTAGCACCATTATACGTCAAAATTTTGTCTCCAGTGACTAAATCTAATTGTAGATAGTACGAGCATATTGTAAGTAACTAATAGTGGCAACAATTTGCTTTGATAATAATAATAAATTAAATGGACCCGATTGGCGTAGTGATTATTGAACCTGTCTCTTGTGCCAGAGGGTGTGGGTTCGATCCCCACTTCTGAATGAATATTGTGTTATGAACATAGCGTTTTTCTAGTGCCTGGGTGTTTTTCTAGTGTCTACGTATTTATCTATAATATGTATTTATTTTTAAAAAAAAATGTTTGTTCGTTCATCAGTCACCTAGTATCCATAGGACAAACTATGCTTAATTTCGAACTAGATAAAGTTGTGTAAATGGCCTGAATTATTTATTCTTATACATACGTGAATACTATACATGGTTGAATATAACCTTTTTGCATAATTTATGCTTTCACTTTAATTTTAAAGGCGGACTCTGTCCGGTGACATTTCAGCACTTTAGTCCTTTTGTCTTTTTGTCCCGACTTTAGATGAAAATAGAACCCGATAAAATCCGTAAATTAGATTTTTTTTTTTTTTTTATTATCCGTAAATTATTATTATTTCAAGCGTCCCTTTGTGTGTCGATTATTTGTTTGTTCCGTTACACACTAGTACAGTCTTTCTTTCTTCTTTCTTTCGGAAACTAACAGGAGGCTCACCTGAGAGATAAAAGGATAAAAATGTAAATGTAGGATAAGAAAGAAGGATAAAAATGTCATATCGTTCAGACAAAACGACAATCAAAGTGACAATCACACATGGCGAAATCCGAATTGAAACTTTTCGTGATCATCGACAGGACTTTGTTTACTAAACGAGCTACGATTAGTCCTCGCGCTTATTCACTACGCGCCGCTCGGGAATCGAACCTAGGGCCGAAAAGCCGATAGCAAAAACACTAGCCAACCGGACGCGTTAACCGTGAACGGAATTCGATTTACCCGAAAAACAATTTCGCTCCGATCCCGGAGGCTTTACAACTAAAAACGGATTTTGTGGGGTGCGGGTGGGGGCGAACGGTGATGGGTCGGGGAGGGGGAGTTATCATTCGGTATTTGTCCAGCGGCAACGTATGCCACCTAGCGCACCAGAATAATCGGCATTCGGAAAATATAAATTTGAAATAGGAACGAGCGCCCCGCAGGGGGGGGGGGGGGGGGTGTAGGAGGTGTCCAAAGGCCTTTTTATAATAGGCGTTTGCTTTTGTCTTTCGAATGGTAAATATTTAAATCGTTGTGAAGCCGCCGCGACATTCGATTTTTGAATTTCCATTCGATTACGACTACCTAATACCGGAATCGGCTGTTATCACAGGTAATAAACTTGAGGTAATATTAACGTCCGTGATGATGACGAAAGCTTATTTTCGTTGCTGAATAAAATGATTAAGATTAGATTTGAAGATGTGTCAAGTCTGCCAATTCACATTTGGGCCGCGTGGTGGACTATGCCCTTATACTCCCTGTACATATGAGATCTTTGCCAAGCAGGACATATTGTATAGGCTGTTTCTTTACAAAACGTTGCGTTTTTCTTTAAAGTCAAAGTTTTTTATGTTGACATGCGACCTATTTTGTACCGCTATTAGTGGGACCTATTTTGTACCGTGACGATTAGTGGTCGAGTCAATATGGATAGTTGTAAACAATGTTGATATGTCGATAAATATTTTGGAATTGCTGTAGAGTCACACTGAATTTTCCGTTATTGCATTAAAAGTTGCGGCTCATCTGGGGATTTAGTTTACGGAAGATTGGCCTATGAAGGAATCGTAGCGACCTCTATCAAATGCTGGTAAAACAACTGTAATCCACTACTAATAGAGTTGTCCAGGTGTGGCGTTTATGATTAGATTATATTATATTTAGATTAGATTTAAAAAAATGTTGCCCTTATTATAATATAATATTATCTTGTGTTGTAGGAGCGTTTTACAAACATAAATTTCATAACACTCAGATCCGGAACAATTATCTGTGGGTCACACAAATAATTGTCCCGAACCCACGACTCCCGTCGCCCAAGCCAATAGCCTTAACAACTACGCCACGGAGTCATCTAATTCAATATCAAACATTGAAAACATTTTTATGTCAACGTGTCCTTGTTCTTCATTTTAATTTATAATTTTTATCGACAAATTCTGTAACTTAATTAATGGAATGGCCAATCGAACATTCGCAGAAACGCTCACCATCGGAGGCTGGAGGGCGGTGGCAGATGGCGCGATAATCGAAAATTCGCAATTGTTACTCTTTATTGCGGCTCGGGGATATAAGGGCGCGAACAATGGGGCACTGTGCCAAAAGACTCGGAGAGTAACATGTGTGGGGTCCGCGCGCGGGGAAGCCCCCGCGTCAAGTGACGTTCTAATCACGTAATTCGTTTTCGGCCAATGTGATGACGATTCAGCGATTGAGATTATTTTTTTTACATTACCCCCTCACGATAGGCCTTTTCTGTGTCGCAGGGGGCTTACTTCAGTATTGCTTTCGTCTCCAAAGGTAAAAATAACCGCTTTTTACTAAATGCACATGGATTTATACACGATACAGTACCCGGAGGACCGAGCTTTGCTGGGTTTTTTTTTTTGGTAAATCGTGTATTTTGGAAATTACATTTAGATACAAATTACTGAGTAATGAAATATGCATAATATTTTTAGAATCTTACCGACGTAATAATAAGAAAATATGAACTGGTGTTTTTCACAAAAGAAAGAACTTTAAAAGAAAGGAAAAAAAATAACAAAATCATCTGGATCGACAAAAAATAAAATGAATGATCGAAAAAAAAAAAAACAATAATCTGGAATCGAAAAAAAGTAAAAAAATAAGTGTAAATGATCGTGACATGAACCACGGCCTTCTGTTTCGGGGCCGCCCGATTACCGACCGAGCTATTATAAAAAAAACTTTTTTCGGTGAAATTTATAATACCTATAATACCGTCGTATTCGTATGATATTTTTCATTCCCTGAAAACTGGGATCAAACGACATTTTCTAAAAATTAAACCTAGCCAGATCGATTTTTCTCTGGAGCCGTTTCCGAGATTCCGATTATATATATATATATATATATATATATATATATATATATATAGATAATTGTTAAATTATAGATAATTCAATATTTCTATCTACCCTGGTCATGTCATAGCAAAGCCCGTTAATCATCATGTAATAATTTGATTAATTTGTAAATAATTTTTTACTTAAATATGTGATAAAAACTTTAAGTATACTTACATTAAAAAAAAATAAGATTTAACAAAGTTGACTTTTGTGCTAATTCTTCTAACTTGTGTGATAATTCTTGTGATTTGCTGTTGTAGTCGTTAATTATTGTTTCTAATTTGTTGTCATGAAAGTTGGTGCGTTCCTTTGTGCGCGTGCTTCTTTCTATAACAAATCCGTGTACGTAATTAAAACTGAGCAGATGTGGAATCCAATTACTAATTCCCTTTTGTCCGTCGCCGGAGACGCAGCGCCGTCGTGTTGTCTGAGTGTGAGCTCCTCTCTTCGGGAGTCCTCTTCCGTGTCGTACCCATTCGGCGATTCTGTGCCGTAAGTATTCAGCCCTTGGGGCGGTTTTCGGGTGGCCGAACGAGGGGAGCGCGGCCGCCCCGGGGGCTGCGTAAACGTGCGTCTACATCATTAGCCCGCTTTATTAGGGGCGGGCATCGCGCCCGGGGCGGTGCATGCTTCGTTCTCGCGACATGCACGGCGCTCAGTTCGATCCGTAGTGGGTTTAAGCAAGGAGGGACTTCTGAGGCCCTGGTACTTGCCCAGATGACGGGGCTAACTTAACACTAACTTCTTTCAAACTCCACTTCGCTTCTACCACAACGTTGTATGTTATTGCAGCCGACGGTAGTTGTTACCGTTGATTGCTAAATCACTCTCACCTTTTTTGTGTGTGAAGGTGGCTAGCGAGCTAGCGGTTCACCTGATATCCTCGCCCATGGACATTTGGAACATCCGTAGGGTGGCAGATGCGTTGCCACCTTTTAATAAATTGGATCCCTCCTAACTAACTCACCAGACGAAACGCGGAAGTATCACATCCCACTTCATGCGGGTTTTCTATGAGGTAGTAGAACTTTCCCGGACGGACATGCCCATTAGTGCAACAGTGAAGACTGTTGCGTGGCCTTACCACAGTTAAAAATTAAAAACATTAAACCTTGAACACTCGCTGTCATAGCAAAATATCAATTTAAGTGTATGTCTAATAACTGTTAAGTTTAATGGCACACGCCAATACGATTCGAACCTACGACCGCAGACATCGATCGACTTTCACTGAGCCACCGCTACATCGTGCCCCCGCCGTTTAATTTTCCGAGCACATCCAGTCCAACCGGCTGACAAGGCGACATTCCCGCCCACGATTTAGCAAACTTTAAATTGGATGAAGCGAGTTACTTTCTCGCAACCCCCTCCCTAATGGAAACGACATTAACACAGTTAGGTTATCGTCTATTTCCGTCTGCTTGAAATTGGTACACCTCATTGTTCCGTATAATGTTATGATGTCGAATCACGCTACTTAATTGGACTTGATTCATATGATTATCTCAATAATTGTTCTGGCTTTATTTGCTCTGTTACGAAATTGGTTTAGAACGATCTAATTGAATAGCAAGTCGACTCTTCGTTATAACTTCATATATTATACTTGCAAAGTATAATATAAAAAACCAGCCAAGTGAGACTCGGACTCACGCACGAAGAGTTCCGTCCGATAATCTATATAAACGGCAAAAAAATCATCTCTGTTGAATGGGAGCCCCACTTAAATAATTATGTTTTAATTCAATTTTTTTATTAGTTTTTGTTACAGCGGCAATAGAAATACATCATTTTTGGATTAAATATTCATTTCAAAATTAATTATTCAAAATTTTATTCTTATACATGGTTAAAGTGACAAAATATACAAAAGAAGCCAATGAAAACCTAGCTTGACTCCTGAATGAAATCAATTTGGTTGAAAGCTCTCGGGCTACGTCACACAGTAACAAGGTAAGATGTGAGCGACAGACATCCGATGTCGCTAAGGGCTTGGCGAACATATTAAATGTAAAGTTTAGTGCTCTACAAAATGAAACTATGTTTATGGATTTATCACGTATCTTTGGTTCTAAACGTTTAGAACCCTTTACAGCGTTCATGGTCACGGGACAGACAACACGACATCGCGTAAATACAAAAAATTGTTAAGTTTAGTGCTCTGCAAAGGCGGTGGTTGTTTCAATTGGGTCTTTATTGAGTTCGATAAACCATCACATATTATGTAAGTAAAAAAATAAAGTCACAGCCTATACGTGTCCCACTCCCGGTTAAAAGCCTCCTCTGTACAGATGTTCTCAGGGAATAGTCCACTTAAAGTAGTAAACTTAAAATTAACAATTTCATTGGCACCACTTATTACAATTTTTATTAGTTACCCGTGAACGCTAGTCAGCTAATCTAGAAGGATCCAATACTTAAATTTACAAACGATTTTTAACGATAAATGTCTCATTTTCATATTAGGGTTCCTTACCCGAAGGGTAAAACGGGACCCTATTACTAAGACTTCGCTGTCTGTCAGTCTGTCTGTCACCAGACTGTATCTCCTGAACCGTGATAGTTAGACAGTTGAAAATTTCACAGATAATGTATTTCTTTTGACATTAGAAAACAAAATAAAAGAATATTTAAGTGGGGCTCCCATACAACAGACTTGATTTTGTTTGCCGTTTTCATAGATAGAACCCTTCATGCGCAGGTCCTGCTCGCACTTAGCCAGTTTTTTATGTCTGTTAGCATCTTTAAACAGTAGACTTTCAATCCGTTGTTGATTGGACATTAAAATGCCTTCCGTGCTCTCGAAGTTTCCGCGGCGCTGGGGATTTCAGCGGCGAACGAAGACGCGTACCTGAACGAGCAACGGCCCATGAATATTGTATGAACGGCGTTTGAAAACATAGGCTGCTAAACTTTTAGCGAACGAGCTTCTCTAGCGATCCAGATGCAGGCAGAAAGGCGTTCGCCTTTGCCTATATGGTGCTGTTTTCCTAATTAAAAATGCAGCAGCTAAAGTACCCTCATTACGTAGGGTATAGCCACCTTTCTGCAGAGTTGGGGAATATTTTTTGTTTCGATATATCGCCGACTTTATGAATGACCAGTAATAATTATTTGAATTATATTGGAAGGAAAAAGCTTTCGTCGCCATAAACCGGACGACTTACAGTTTATAATTCTTACGCGTAGATTTAAATATAGAAACAAGTATCTTATATAGGTGGCTGAGGTTAAAATAAAGTTGAATGGGCGGGTCCGTCCGGGTAAGTACCACGACCTCACAGAAGACCGGCGTAAAGTAGAAGTGTTACACTTCTGCGTTTCGTCTGTTGAGTGGGGTAGCCGGGGCGCACTTTATTTAAAGGTGGCAACGCATTTGCAACCATACGTGTGTTGCAAATGTCCATGGGCGGCGGTAATCACTTAACACCAGGTGAACCGCCAGCTCGTTTGCCACTTTCTCACATTAAAAAAAAACGAGTCGAGAATAAAGGAGACCGAAGTATGAAGGCCGCTCCAGTCAGAAGGTTAACTTCGAAGCGCTCGACGTGTCCTTACGTTCGCAGATTGCGCAAGTTGCCGACTCGAGTTTCGAAAGCTTAGCGTAACCTTTACATAATTTCGCTCTAAACTTTCATAATAACGCTACGGGCTGCGAATTTTCAGGCGATTTGAACTCGGGGCAAATCTCAGGGCTGCCGCCGGGTATTTTTCGGGAGATATTTACACGATGTTATCTAGTCTCGAACTGAGCGGTGTTTATTCTAGGGTTAAAGCGTTGTCTAAAGTCATTCAGATTTTTATAGTGCTAATTTAAACTATTAACACTATAAAATTTCATATAGCAATAGCGACAACATATCTCGTTCGAATTATCGTTGTAAAGCGATATTTGAAATGGTTTGAATGCTGTGAAGGATATAACAATAGATGCGCCAAGCATTCCTTAAAATGCGAAAAAACAATGTAGATAAAAGACGTTGAGATTTTCGTCGGTGTGGCAATCAGCTGTTTAGCTAAGTGGTATAAGCGTCTGGGCGCTGATCCGGAAGACGTGGGTTCGATTCCCAGTGAAAAACTTATCGTCATTGTTTTTCTGCAAATTTTATTTGTTTAAATTACCAACACAATATTTGAGACGGCAAAGAATAGTGGTTTTTTGTACTCTGATTTTTGATTAATTTCCTTTTTTTTTTCTCCTTATGCCAAGTGACCATATCCGGGTGGTTTTTCAGCCAACGTTACTTGCCCCAAAGAGAAAAGTTATTGGTGTACGACACGGGAATTCGAACCAAACGCTCGCAAGTCAACCTTTTCGATACAAATCCCTGTCTAAGAATTAAGTAGGGCCACTTTTTACGGCGTTAAGCCGGGAACATCAAAGGATCAACCATCAATAGATGTTTCCGACTGGAATTTTCCGGTAGAGATCTAATGGATCCATTAGCCTAAGAAGTGGACCAGCGACACGTCAACCTAACTGACGACACTGACGTTCCAGCAAAGTGGACATATTTCGCAAACATAGTTCCTTTATATAAAATATAATCCATAAAACATAATATCCTTTATATAATCCATAGCAGTAAGATAAAATAAAATAAAGATAAAATTCTCCGTAATAAATAGAGTTAAAGAATTTTCATTGTTTCACTATTTAAGCTGACATCACTATGTTTCACTTCTTGATCTACAAATACAACTCCCGTCTGAAATGTCTCGTTTGTTCGAATAACTAGTAAAAATGTAGGTACGTATTTACAAGAATTATAATAATTTTCCATATCAGTATCTTCTGAATTTAGCACACCACAAAAACAAAGGAACCAACCATTTTTTATGTCCTTCTTAGGTTACGTTCTTCTTATAGATTTATGCTCAGTTTTTATTTTATTACAGTATGTCTAAACTGTGCGCGATACTATATCAAAATTAAAAATTTAATTTATAATATATTTAATTTTTTTTTAAATCAAAAAGATAACGTCTTTTGGGGACATTATGAACTTACTAAAGAGTGATAATACAATATCTTTTAAATTCAAGTAATCCTTGACCTTCTTACAAATAGAGGAAAGTCACCAAATATGGAATAGTATCCTAATATGGAATAAAGCAATTTCTCTAAGAATATAAGTATGAAACGAAACACATGACCATCTTCTGTTTCATTCGGTCTATTTACTACCTCACTCACACCATCGTGTCAGTTGCGCGAACGCTACAAGTGTGGCCGGTGTTTTTTTGTTTTGTTGTCACGCAGAAAATTTTAAAGGTAAGTAATAATTGAGTATTACCAGTTATTACGTATGTATACATAGGTGTTTTACTATTTAGTATATCGATATTATGTTTATTTCAACGTTTTGTGATATTCTGTCATTAAAATATTGTGATTTGAAAAAATATTTAGATGATTTTAAACAAGTATAAAAATCCAAATATGGACAGTCGTCGGTGTCTAATTATGGAATATTCCATAATTAGGTCTTTATATTTCACATGTTAGGTACTTGCTACTATTTCTTTTAAAAAAAAATGTTATGTTTGTTTTTAGAATGTCTGCTTCACAATCAACCAAGAAACGAAAAACCTGGGATGAAGAAAAAATGGCAGAAGCTATAAAATTCGTCCGGGGAAATAAAATGGGATATTTGAAAGTAGCACAGCATTTTGAAAGAAAAGCTGCTATAGCAACAGTCATAACATCTTCACCCTACAAAAATTATTTAGTAAATAAAAATATGAAGAGACAAAAAAAGAAAGTAAGACAAAGAATAAGAAGAAAACTGCGAAGAGAAACAAACAAACGAAGAAAAATAGAAATGATCGTGAAGAAGAAGACTCTGAGGAACGGGACGTCATCCAGTTTGATGAAGACAGTGAACATGATGAGTTGATGGACCAAGTATCTCCTGACTCTGCTGATGCAGAATGTATGTTCTGTTCAAACCTTTTCTCCATGGATAAAAGTGGAGAAAGCTGGATTAAATGCTTGATGTGTGGACTCTGGGCACATTATGATTGTGCTGTCCAGAGTTTGATACTTGGATCTGTGACTTTTGCAAGTGAATTTAGTAACTTCGTTCGTTTATAACAATATGTTATTTTAATTTATTTGATATCATAGATATTTATGTCTATTTTTGTTATTGATATGATGATTTATGCTTATATTCCATATATGGGTACCTATTCCATATTTGGTTACTCATTTGTGATTTTGGTTTTGTGTTAGATTTTAATTTGGTAACTAATATATTTGATTAAAGGCTGTTAATTACTAAATATTAATGTCTGACTGATTAGTAATTACATTAAACTGTTTTAGTTTCTATGAAGTTTTTTTTTTATATCCCTGAAACAAAATGGTATTCCATATTGGGTGACTTTCCTCTACAATAAACGACTATTATATTATCTAAGTGTAAAAAGCTCCGTAGAAGTGAGTCAATTGCCGTCGACAGCGTCCGCTCCTTAGAAATTGAAATTTCTCTCAACCACCTTTTCTCCATCGTAGCCTTTTAGTTATATTAAAAGTGTTTAAATAATCCAGTCGTCTAAAGTGAATTTGTTTTTAACGCGTCCAATATACTAGAGTGCGTCCATCCAATACTGTAATGCTATCAGAGGGTACTCCTGAAAATTAATTTGACGTCCCAAACGAATTATTATTCCCCCCTCCAAAGTCTACACGTTTAACGAAACAGTTTTAATGATCTCGGTGTTTTGTTACTCATTTCAAGCTTTTATTACTTCGCTGTGAAGCATTTCCAACTTCTGAAACTCATTTTTACAAACTGAATGAAGTAAATATAATACTTTTCAAATAACAGTAGGAACTTAAACGACTTTGCTTTTAAAGACTATGCTATAATATATATAATCTGTCATTAGAAAAGTACAACTTGCAAAGGATTTTCATTTTCCACTTTTAAAATTTAAAAACTTCAATTACCAGTTAAGATTGACATAAAGAAATTAACCACAAAACAAACAAATCGAAAATTAATACTGGCAGAGGGTAATATTTCAAGACGACGATGCCTTTAGTTTTATTATAAACACAGGTAATAAAACGTCTAATTTCTTTTAAATAACACTCAGTGGAATATTTTGAATAACCACATATACATCTAGATGTTCAATAAAAACAAATACATGTTCTATTAGGAGAATGTAGCAGTGATAACGATGATGACTACTCAGAAAGTCATGCAGAAATGAGCGGAATTGTCAAGTGTTTTTCTATCGTGTCTGAAATACAAAACTTTAAATATATATTACATCAAAAATATCTCTTTCAATGTACCTAACTTTGGTTTGAATTGAGCGTGCACTAATAAAATATTGAGAATGGTTTTGAAATAGGTAATTAAAAGCACATAGAAAACAACTATCTCACTCAATCAAGAGTTCATCATTTCAGACTGTTTAAGTCCATTGCTAAACATAAGGCACTGCCATGAAGTACGATACTGAGCTACTTGCATCCATCAACTTCCCGCAGATTTACTTTGATTTATTACGAGGCTACCTCTAACCTATCTTCTCCATCGGTTTCAGTTCTACGCCATTGCCGGCCCTTTGCCACTTCAGCTTACTAACCTTCAGAGCTATGTGTTTACCTTTGTTCTTGCGAACTATATCATGCAGCGATCATTTACTGCCATATCTCAAATCGATTTTTCATCTTACCAATAAACTGTTTGCTGTTTCGCAGATTTGTTGAGGCAAGAAGCGACAACTTGCAGCAGTTTTATCGCGTCTAGGTGTTTCTCGATCGGAGAAACTAATAGACATTCCGCTTCGTGCTTCCACACGGAACGGACGTAAATCTGAGCCGGAGGGTCCATGCCAGCCGACCCGGA